AATATTCACGAGCCTGAGGCAAATAATTGTTTTATAATATACAAATTGCAGGGAAAATGTCAAATTTCTCCGAAGAAACTGGAAAAATACGAAAATATTACGCCATTTTTTCCCCGAGACAAAAACATTTGAACTTCGCGGCATTTCCAAATAAGGTAGAGAGGGTATAATGCCTCTGAGACCATGAGTAGGGAACCAATCAAATTGCTTGAAAATGCATTATCCCATGGTTAGTATATTATAATACAGGTTATCATAGATCTTTAGGGATGTCTCCAGTCTAAAAGATGTACATCTAAGAATATTATCTGGCTACCAAAATATACTTGTCTTATAGTATATTTCCATTCTTGAATCTTACCTAATTATATAATAAGTATAAGACAATTTCCTCTATGCAAATATCTGACCTCTCTTAGGCTTGAAACCCATACTTGGTTGCTTAGAAACTGGTGCCTGGATATCAAATTAACATCTCAGTGTAGATTATTGTTCAGACAACTGTTTACTTTACTAATAATAATTTATTATAATTGTCTTTAAAATCCAGACCTCTGTCAGGCTCGGTGTTGGTGGTTGGTTGCGACAGTGGTCTGTTTGTCTGGACTGTTGATCCTTCATCTCCTATCCTGAGGTTTGTGTTAAATGGCTCTTTGTAAGTACCATGCAAGGGCAAGAGCTAAATAAGTCATGTATTACTAAAATATATTTTTCCTTCAGGCATGAGGGAAAGGAGGGATGGTTGCTTTAGTAAACAGTTTTCATTGACAAATTATGGACCTCTCAGGAAATGGGCGGGATTTTTTATCGGTTAGATGCAATCCAACAAATGAACATTGTAGACACATACATGTAGGAAGTACTCATTCATATTACATATGTCAAGGAGAAACTGGTTTAGCTTGACCCAATTCCTGGATGACAACAGCAACTTAACAAAGAAAGTATTTGCATCCTTGATTTCTACTGACAGATTCAACTTTTCTCAAATTAAAATTAAACGTGTTTCAATATGGCAATCCAAATAATACTTATTTGGGTTTGATTACTGTTTTCTCTGCAGGCTAGGAGGTAGTTCTGTTCGCCATCTGTCATATCCAGGCCACAGCCCAGTGACGACTGTCTCATGGAGTCCCAGTGGACAGTTACTGGTGTCTGGTTCTCCAGCAGACAGTAACTTGATGGTACGGATGAGGGTCCAAAATAGGCTTGGTGGGATGTGGGATATGGGGCTTAAAATCGAGGCGGGATACTGGATACGAAACATTTTAGGGGGGAGGGATATGGTATGAAATATTATCTTGTCAGGACCAGGATATGCTCCTTTTCATAGGCGGGATGTGGGATGTTTTGAAATTGACAGCGGGATGTGGGATAAAATCTCTAAATTGATGTGAGAGCCCTGTGCCATTTCATCCTATTATTCTAGTTGAATGTTCTTTGAAATGATCAGGTATGGGATGTCGCCCTGGAGTCAGCCACGCCTTTATATAGAGCTGGAGGTGGAGTAACACTTACAGCATGGTCGCCAGATGAGAGAAATCTGTTTGCCGCAACACCATCTAGCTTGTTCAGGTTAGACAGTTAATGACAATAAGAAATTTATCACTCTCAGCTGTAATTTATAAATTTTGCTGTTTATCATGTTCACTCCTGAAAGCCACTACAGTCTCAAATAATATAACATAATTATTTTCTAACTCCAATTCAATGTAGGGTATGGGAGACTCAGACTTGGACTTGTGAAAAGTGGTCAAATTTAGCCGGCTCTTGTCAGGTAAGAAGTCAATTTTTAAATGCTCTGTCATAGGCACACAATGCGTGCAGAGGGCGAGGCTATATGATGCTACAACTTGTAATAATAATATTGAATAGTGATATGACTGTGTATATATATGAAGGTAAGCACTTTTTATGTAGCATTCTTACTCTCTATACAGGCAGCATGTTGGAGCCCTGATGGGAAAGTTCTTGTGTTTGCTGTGGCAAATGAACCTGCACTATATTCATTACAATTTCAGAATATTGGTAAGCATTTTGAAAAAAAAAAAATATCAAAAACTCAACAGCTGATGTTTTTAAGTGTAACAGCATATCGTGATCATGAATTGGCTGGAAATTAGACTGCGAGCAGTCCCTCTTTCTTTCCGATAGCGAGAGCGAAGCACGAGTGACCGGAAATCGCGTGAGCGAGCGGAAGTGAGGCACCCGTTCGTGCCTCACTTCTGCTCGCTCGCGCTTCGCGCTCGATTTCCGGTCTCTCGCGCTTCGCTCTCACTATCGGAAAGAAAGAGGGACTGCTCGCAGTCTAGCTGGAAATAAATTAATATATTTTATATTTATTATAGCCCATTAGTCTATCTCAACAAACAAAATTATTTAAAAATGTTATTATTGGAGATGCAGTGAGTGTGGAACGTAGCGCTGAAGATTTGAAGGTTGACTGTTCATGCCTGAATGTAAAATGGTAATTTTTAAAATATAATAATTGCCAAGTAATTTATTGTATTTGAGTTTGGTGTTACATTATTCTGATTTAAGGTGATGGGCAAAACAACACATCCGCAGCAAAAGGCGCACGACTGGCTGTAAGATGCGCTGATTTGACAACGCACAGCTGGGAGTTGGATGAGGAGTCAGTGACTATAGGGGGCTGTGTTCGCTCCATGGCTTGGGATCCATTTGGTGAAAGATTGGCAGTTATATTTCAAGGTATAACTGAAATAGACATGCTCTGCTCCCAACAGCAGCACTCACTGCATAGTCAGAATCCTATTTAAATCCAATCCAAGTATATGGTCAACAATAGCCACTTCTCAACAATGATTTACCATGACTTCCCTACAGCTGCTACCTCAGTCTGTACAACAGCCAGCTGATTGTGCCCCAGGGGTGGCCTAACCCTTGTCAATATGCAAACATAGTGATTTAGTGGGTTTAACTTTTCTCTACTGATTTTCATTGTATCTCTTCTAGAATTTGGTGATACATTGTGACGGCCTTTGATTATTTTTCTTTATTCCTGTATTACATGTACCTGAACAAAATGTTGTATTTATTTTTACCATGTTTCTTACATGTTGTACATATTGCTACTTCTATGTAACCTTAGCCTACTGATGACCAAAATATTTCCTACGTCCTCTCCCCCCCCCCCCCCCCCCCTCCCCCCACCTATACAGGATACAGAGAAACATTATTGCCTCAGGGTTATCCTCCCAGCAGTCAGCAGTTTAATTGCTTGCAGAGCTTTGTATTCACATTTCATTTCTGTATTCACATTTTCTTGCACACAGATGAAGAAAAACAAGCCAGGAACTCGTCGCTGTGTTCAAGACGAGATTGAAACCAACATTTGAAGTCATGCCTAGGTAATGGTCAGGACTAAATGGAGCAATCTAATTTTAATCATAATATTACATTAATTACGTGTAATAATTTAGTGATTAAATTATGATCATAAATCAATAGTCAAAATAATATTAAAACATTTGAATGTAATAATAAAGGAACCACAATTCACCACAGATAAAAATTAATCTGCCGGGATAATTGAAAAGTCTGCAAAATCAATGTTCGGATAGCCTGCGTAACAGATGCTGGAGTAATATACGCCCCTCCATTATTACTCCAGCGCCTGTCAGGCTAACCATCAGTCGCTACACTGAGATGTTGCAGATATGTGTCTGACTTTAACTTGTTTTTACAAAGTTTTATCAATAAAAAATTAAATAGTAAGTACATACATGTATACAAAAATGAGATAACTGAGACATACTTTGGCTGGCAAACATAAACTTGCAATCACCAAGAATTGCCAAGCCAATTTCATGGAACTTGCAGATTGCAACTTTTTAGGGTTACAAGTTGATAATACACTTGTAAATATGTGAGTTTATAGTTTAACCAGTAATTATTATAATGTTTTGTGTTATTCATCTGTAACATGTAGTGGCTTTGTAAGAGGACCTCCTAATACCATCCCAGAAATTGTCACCTTCCAGCAAGACTTCAAAAAAGGAGCACTACTGACTGTTGTAAGTATTAAATGTTCAACTCTTTTTAATCCCAAGACAGTGGCCATGTTTAAAATTCAAATACCGGTATACAGTTGAATCCCGCTATCTCAAACACTCATGCAAGGGGAACAAAAAACAGTTCGAGATAGTGAGGAGGAGTTTGAGATAGCCGATAGTAAATGACTGAAAAACAAGTGCAAGGGGAATGGGTTTTAGTTCGAGATAGCGGGGGTGTTCGAGATAACCGAGTTCGAGATAACGCGATTCAACTGTATCACTTTGTAAAATATTGAAAAACAAAATAGAACCACATTAATGTACTGTTCAATAGCTTTCATTTGAATGACAGCCTATATGGAGCATAATAAACTGAAAGTACTGCGCGAGCAATAGCTTTCATTTGAGTGGTCACCCACTAGGCTTTATTCTAACCACATGAATTAAAATATGAAATTTCCATAGCTTAACTAGGGTTTCATCCACAGAGACTTAAAAGAAGATAGAACTACTTTGAAGGACTAATAAACACTCAGATAACTAACATACCTTTTTTTCTTCTTTTTTTTTTTTTTTTTTGCAGTGTTGGTCAGATGGCAGTATCTCGTTCATTCCATTACTGTTTTCTCCATCACCCCTCGTTGGCTCTCCACGTCAGTTTGAAAACGGAACATTTGCAAATAGTTTGTCATAGCATTGATTATTGTATACGTAAAGAAACTTGTACATATTTAAGATGTTGTTTGAGAAATAATATTTTGTAAAAGAAAAAAATAAGTGAATGCAATAAAATTTATTGATTGAAATTAAACTAATGTTCATGTTTCACATAATGTAAAGGTTAGTGTTATTGCCTATAGTTATGTACTTTGTCACTGTATACATGAATGATAATTAAATAAGCCCCCTTTTGTGAGACCTAAAATTAATAAGCCTGGGGGCTGGGGCTTATAAAATAGCAGAAATAATGTAGTGTATATAAGTGCCTTTGTAGCTCAGTTGGTAGAGCATAGCACTGACATTGCAAAGGTCATGGGTTTCAATAATTATTCTCACTGTTGAAGCGTCCAAATATTTTACAGCCTTCATTCACTGCAATTTCTTCATTTCAGAAATGTCAAATGCAGTTAGTTGCCATGTTTGCTGTGTATATTTAGATGTGATTGAAAAGCTTTGGAACAGTTCAAGGCTCCAATATTTAAAGGGAACCTCCACTCGTTTTACAAATATGGCCAAAATGTTCTAAATGTACTAATTAGAAGATCTGGAATTAAAAAAATGTCTCTCCTAGCGTAATTTCTTTTTTATCGCCTTCCAAAGATGCGCCCCAGAGCCGGTTCAAAATTACCGCGGCCGCCATCTTGAAAGGTACGCAAAGCACTGTGGGCTGATGACGTATCGTGGTTGCTTCGAATTCGCTGGTTACGTAAGCTCAGTATTTTGTTGTGAAAAGTTCTCGGTTTTGCGTCTTCCAAAACAGACAAAACAGCTTCAACATGTCGCAGATTCTGCCTTATCAGTTGGAACCGGAGTATCCGTCGAGTGAGTAGAGAGAGGACCAAGAAAGTGAAGAGGAACAAGATGAACAAGATGATTCTTTGGTTTCAAACACTGGTCGCCGTTTGGACAATTCTTGGTGCGTTTGCGAGCGTTGTACTGTCATGCCGACAGAAAGGGAATGTGTATGCTGCAAAGAGGGCTAGTGACCCGCAATTCTTTCATACATATACGATCCCTCTCCTTCGAGAGGGATCAAAAGCGCTAGCGCCCAAGAGTACGTACATATATACGGCATTATTGCTGTTTGATTTCGATTGTAGCAATTATGTTTTAGGGCGGACTTTATTCTGGATGAACAAGGGGACATCAGATATTTACAAAGTTTATAAAAAAGTTTATTGGTACTAATAAAATATTTCTGGCAAAAAACTTTACCAGTGAAAAATAAAATTTCATCAAAAAGAAATTAAACTTCTTTTACTAATAAATGCCCAATCGGGCAAAAAAGAAATCGACTTGTTTGCCCGATAATTTTACTAGTATAAGGTCATTCATATACTAATAAATGCCCAATCGGGCAAAAAAGAAAACGACTTGTTTGCCCGATAATTTTACTAGTATAAGGTCATTCATATACTAATAAATGCCCAATCGGGCAAAAAAGAAATCGACTTGTTTGCCCGATAATTTTACTAGTATAAGGTCATTCATATACTAATAAATGCCCAATCGGGCAAAAAAGAAATCGACTTGTTTGCCCGATAATTTTACTAGTATAAGGTCATTCATATACTAATAAATGCCCAATCGGGCAAAAAAGAAAACGACTTGTTTGCCCGATAATTTTACTAGTATAAGGTCATTCATATACTAATAAATGCCCAATCGGGCAAAAAAGAAATCGACTTGTTTGCCCGATAATTTTACTAGTATAAGGTCATTCATATACTAATAAATGCCCAATCGGGCAAAAAAGAAAACGACTTGTTTGCCCGATAATTTTACTAGTATAAGGTCAATCATATACTAATAAATGCCCAATCGGGCAAAAAAGAAAACGACTTGTTTGCCCGATAATTTTACTAGTATAAGGTCATTCATATACTAATAAATGCCCAATCGGGCAAAAAGAAAACGACTTGTTTGCCCGATAATTTTACTAGTGTAAGATCCGTTTGTATACTAATAAATGCCCAATCGGGCAAAAAAGAAATCGACTTGTTTGCCCGATAATTTTACTAGTATAAGGTCATTCATATACTAATAAATGCCCAATCGGGCAAAAAAGAAAACGACTTGTTTGCCCGATAATTTTACTAGTATAAGGTCATTCATATACTAATAAATGCCCAATCGGGCAAAAAAGAAAACGACTTGTTTGCCCGATAATTTTACTAGTATAAGGTCATTCATATACTAATAAATGCCCAATCGGGCAAAAAAGAAAACGACTTGTTTGCCCGATAATTTTACTAGTATAAGGTCATTCATATACTAATAAATGCCCAATTGGGCAAAAAAGAAATCGACTTGTTTGCCCGATAATTTTACTAGTATAAGGTCATTCATATACTAATAAATGCCCAATCGGGCAAAAAAGAAAACGACTTGTTTGCCCGATAATTTTACTAGTATAAGGTCATTCATATACTAATAAATGCCCAATCGGGCAAAAAAGAAAACGACTTGTTTGCCCGATAATTTTACTAGTATAAGGTCATTCATATACTAATAAATGCCCAATCGGGCAAAAAAGAAATCGACTTGTTTGCCCGATAATTTTACTAGTATAAGGTCATTCATATACTAATAAATGCCCAATCGGGAAAAAAGAAAACGACTTGTTTGCCCGATAATTTTACTAGTATAAGGTCATTCATATACTAATAAATGCCCAATCGGGCAAAAAGAAATCGACTTGTTTGCCCGATAATTTTACTAGTATAAGGTCATTCATATACTAATAAATGCCCAATCGGGCAAAAAAGAAAACGACTTGTTTGCCCGATAATTTTACTAGTATAAGGTCATTCATATACTAATAAATGCCCAATCGGGCAAAAAAGAAAACGACTTGTTTGCCCGATAATTTTACTAGTATAAGGTCATTCATATACTAATAAATGCCCAATCGGGCAAAAAAGAAATCGACTTGTTTGCCCGATAATTTTACTAGTGTAAGATCCGTTTGTATACTAATAAATGCCCAATCGGGCAAAAAAGAAATCGACTTGTTTGCCCGATAATTTTACTAGTATAAGGTCATTCATATACTAATAAATGCCCAATCGGGCAAAAAAGAAAACGACTTGTTTGCCCGATAATTTTACTAGTGTAAGATCCGTTTGTATACTAATAAATGCCCAATCGGGCAAAAAAGAAATCGACTTGTTTGCCCGATAATTTTACTAGTATAAGGTCATTCATATACTAATAAATGCCCAATCGGGCAAAAAAGAAAACGACTTGTTTGCCCGATAATTTTACTAGTATAAGGTCATTCATATACTAATAAATGCCCAATCGGGCAAAAAAGAAATCGACTTGTTTGCCCGATAATTTTACTAGTATAAGGTCATTCATATACTAATAAATGCCCAATCGGGCAAAAAGAAAACGACTTGTTTGCCCGATAATTTTACTAGTATAAGGTCATTCATATACTAATAAATGCCCGATCGGGCAAAAAAAAAAACGACTTGTTTGCCCGATAATTTTTCTAGTATAAGGTCATTCATATACTAATAAATGCCCAATCGGGCAAAAAAGAAAACGACTTGTTTGCCCGATAATTTTACTAGTATAAGGTCATTCATATACTAATAAATGCCCAATCGGGCAAAAAAGAAAACGACTTGTTTGCCCGATAATTTTACTAGTATAAGGTCATTCATATACTAATAAATGCCCAATCGGGCAAAAAAGAAATCGACTAGTTTGCCCGATAATTTTACTAGTATAAGGTCATTCATATACTAATAAATGCCCAATCGGGCAAAAAAGAAAACGACTAGTTTGCCCGATAATTTTACTAGTATAAGGTCATTCATATACTAATAAATGCCCAATCGGGCAAAAAAGAAAACGACTTGTTTGCCCGATAATTTTACTAGTATAAGGTCATTCATATACTAATAAATGCCCAATCGGGCAAAAAAGAAAACGACTTGTTTGCCCGATAATTTTACTAGTATAAGGTCATTCATATACTAATAAATGCCCAATCGGGCAAAAAAGAAATCGACTTGTTTGCCCGATAATTTTACTAGTATAAGGTCATTCATATACTAATAAATGCCCAATCGGGCAAAAAAGAAAACGACTTGTTTTGCCCGATAATTTTACTAGTATAAGGTCATTCATATACTAATAAATGCCCAATCGGGCAAAAAAGAAATCGACTTGTTTGCCCGATAATTTTTCTAGTATAAGGTCATTCATATACTAATAAATGCCCAATCGGGGAAAAAAATAGATGTTATTGAACTAGCGTGAGGTCCGTATTGGGAAAATATTGGTCGAGTTCTTTTTTTGCAAGTTTATGGACCGAGCCGAAGGCGAGGTCCATAAACTTGCAAAAAAGAACGAGACCAATATTTACCAATACGAATCGAACAAGCTAGTTCAATAAAAGTTTTTTATTATAATGGCTTTTTAAAAAATTTGCTGAGAAATTAATGCAACCATTCTCGGCTAACGCGCGCGCGCCAAAACTAAGCATATTTTTGCATTTTTCAGGCCACGTTGCGAAAAGTTTAACCAAAATTGTCCGCTAGACACGAGGAAAAATGTTTCTACTTAATAGAAAACTGTTTTCTTTTGTTCAATGTTTCATAAAAGGAATTTGGCGAAATGAGTTCGTGAGCGGTCCATCTTTGCGGTCAGTATTGCAAAATTTGGACCGCTCAGGGAACCAATCAGAATTCTCCTTTTCATCGTGGACCAGTTTGCCATATAATAAATGCTCTTATAACACTAAAAGGGAGATTTTAAGTGAATTCTCCTAGAGAGAGCAAACCATTTCTAAGCGACACGACACACGCAAGGGCAGTTCATAATAGCAGCTAATAGCCTGACCTGCTGACGGGTTTTTTTTTTTGCAATTAGTTATAAATTCCAGCCTTGCCCTCCGTTTGCGAAGCAACTTTAAAACACTTTCAGTACATTTTTGTACAGTAATTATAGCCAGAAAGGACCATTTTATTTTCCATCGCCCTTTAAGTTTAAGAAACACCTTTACCTAAACAAATAGTTTACTTTGACTTACTCATGTAGTGACTTATTATTTCGAGAACAATAAAAAACAACCTAAATTCATTAATATGCCAGAATACTGAATTCATTGCAGAGGTTAAATCCGTTTTATTTTACATGAAAAAAGGCTAACCAGCTCATTGAAAGTAATCATCAGTTTTTAATACGTTGGAAAAAATTCAAGCAGCAAGATTACTTATCATGTAAACATTTCTAAAATTGTTATCAATTTCAATTTTATTTACAGGAAATGCCGGCTCGCTTCTACAAAGACGTGTCAACGTCGAAACAGCGGATGCGGATGGAAATTTG